GTGGTTTATTCATGTGGCCATACATCCTCCTTCCTGTCGTGCCTGTGGCCCAATCATTCATCCACTCTTCCTTGAGGTTTGACTTGACCATTACCATTTGATCAATCAAATCCCTATGTTATAATTACATGCGATTGTTACGTTATCATTTTAATATACATGTACATTCATGAGTCGGCAAAATTTGCCAACTGTTTGAGAAGTTGAATGATTCTTGATTGATCTGTGATTTATACGATTATACAGCACTTCATGTATTTTCATTGTTTTTAATCGCGTGTCTGAGATGTTTATTTTCATATTATATACAGTGTATAAATACGCCAGCCAAATGCCAAACAAATACCATCGATTATGTGTTCAAAGAGTGTTGAAATAAAATCTTCTTTTTTACCCCATTTGATGAATGGAACATATTTATTTTTTCAAGTTCCAGTGTTTACTGTTAGTTTTCATTTTTAAGAGTTTTACGACACTTGCAAAACAAGTAGGCCATATTGTAAGTACCGAAGAGTAGATACATGTAGTATTTAAAGAGAGTTTAGTTTTGTTTTAGTAAAGGTTTTACGACGCTCGCAATTGCATAAGGTTATATGAGCGCCAGAAGATTAGAGGTGTTACAAGAGAGTAACAAACATTAAAAAGAAGAAGGGGAGATAAGGACGATAGATGTTTGATAGGAAAGAAGAAGCAAACCAAACCAGAGCATCCGCCAACCACCCACATTACAAGTGGTAGCCTAAAAACGTGTTTGATAGGAAAGAAGGAGCAAGCCACACCACAGCACGCGCCTACCACCCTAAGGATCTATAGTCATATGAGGCCAAGGGGTGGATGTCAACAGATAAGTCCAAACGGAGAATCAGGCTTACTCTGTTCACCTCTCTAGCCTCAACAGCACAGAGTCTGATTCGACTATCTAGGCACCCCGGAAATAGCAGTTCACATGAGAGTGAAAAACATACAAAAGAAGTAGTAGAGGAAAAGACGAAAGTAAGGATGAGGAAAGAAAAAGCAGCAATTCCCCCTATGTAATTCCGGCACAGCATGAGAAGGACGTTGATACATCTGTCCATTTATAATTCTACTGTGCATAAAATCATATTAATCCACCAACCCCCCCCCCCCCTCCCCCCTCCTTTGAGAATGGCCTAAAGCCTAAAGACACTTCAGTCAGTAGTACACATGTACTACCCTTGAGTGGGGGGGGGGGGGTATAGGGACCAGTGTGAGCGCAGATAGAACAACAAGCAACAATACAATCAGGACAGCTTTTTAGCAAAAGTTTTACGGCACTTACAACACAAAATAGTCATATGAATGCCGAAGACTAGAGGTGTTACAAGAGAGCAACAAACACAAAAGAAAGAGGGGAGATAAAGACGATAGATGTTTGGTGGGAAAGAAGAAGCAAACCACACCAGAGCACCCGCCAACCACCCACGGCAAGAGTTTTAAGACACTTGCAACACAATAAGGTCATATAAGGGCAGAAGACTATAGAGGTGTTACAAGAGAGCAACAAATACAAAAAAAGAAAAAAGAGCAACAAACACAAAAAAAGAAAGAGGGGAGATAAGGACGATAGATGTTTGATAGGAAAAAAGGAGCAGACCACACCAGAGTACCCGCCCGGATTCCCTGCATGCACACAAGTCGCATCAGCTAAAAGTGACGTAACAGGCCACTGAGGAGAAAAAGAAGGGTTTCTGGACAAACGACAGAAACAGTACGAAAGAAAACAGTGAAAAAATCAGGCTGTAGTGCCTTTTCTTTCTTGATTACATGTAATTTGTTTTAGTAAGGTTTTACCGTGCTCGAAACTGCATAAGCTCATATCAACACCAAGGGGTGATTGTCAACAGAGAAGTCCAAACAGGGAACCAGGCTTACTCTGCTCACCTCTCTAGCCTCAACAGCACAAAGTCTGCTTCGACTATCAAAGCACTCCGGAAATAGCAGTTCACAAGAGAGTGACAAACATACGAAAGAAGTAGAGGAAAAT